TCACAGATCATATATAAATTATGAATAATGATGATGTATGATCAATACTAAATCAAAGTGAGACAGCATTATCTATTAGAATTTGTTTCATTTATGCGAATGAGAAAAATATAATGGAATAGTACCATCATTATGCAACAAACAGTGTAAGATATATAGAGTGAAGCAAAGGAATCAAAAGGAGCTGAAGAATGCTAAATTAAAGTGAGACAGTGTTACCTATTAGAATTTGTTTTACTTAGGCGATAAGAAAAATATTATGGAATAGTATAATCACTGTGCATCAAACAGTATAAGATGTATAGAGTGAAACAAAGAAATCAAAAGGAGCTGAAGAAGACAGATAGACAAGAAATTAAACCATACAGAGAAACACATATATACCAGGACGTCAAAATGGTCATATAGAGATATATCATATGGTAGCTATCAAGCATCACTAACTTTCACCAAACAGTGAAGTCAACTTAATTTGAGTCTTCACTACTCGTTCACCTGAAAGATCAGAAATCTTCTCTGAATAGTGAAAGATATGAAGAGCACTAATTAGAGAGAGAGAGAGAGAGAGAGAGACAGAGAGAGATTTACATGAAAGAAGGGCGTGGTTTGTTCAAACAAACAGCAGCGAACTTGGTGGCTCAAGAGCAGAGTCAGGTGAGAAAATAGCTGAGAGATGCAAATAGTAATATGCCTCAGAAACTAATTGAAAGCAACTGTAGAAGAAGAACAGTAATAGTAATAGTGGGAGAACTAACCTTGAGAGGGGGAGAGAGAATGATAGTAACAGATAGATAGCACAGATTGAGGTGAGGTATTTGGTATTTAAGTATTCGATGACTACATGTTGGGGCTCGTCGCTTCAGAAAAGCAAGGAAGATAGCTGCTAAACTACTTCCATAGGGTTTCTGAAGCTATAGAAGAAAAAGTGACTGCGTTTCTTCATGATTTATTTTTGGCCTCTCAGGTTATCTATGGTTTGGTGATTTGGGGTGAGGGGTTTTGCAGGATATATAATATATATGGAAATTGAACTAGAAATGTTATCAGCTTTTAGCAGGTAGTTTTACATGATTAATTTAGGTTGGAGAATTATCTAGTTTAGTGTGTAAATTTCATTTAAATTTTAAAGGATCTCAAGCTTCCAGTTAACTCTTTGATCAGTAAACATAGAGAATTTTAAACAAATTATGTCCTTCTTGTTGGTGAAAATACTTTTAAATGTTGAAAATTTCAATTATCTATTATTAAATATAACTATTTATCTATAATAATCTTTAAAGTGAGAATGCATTTTTTTTCTTGAAGTATTTTCGAGCTATAATACATAATAATTTAAAGCTAATGCAATTAAATGGTCACTACGGCAACCGCTAATACAAGTTAGAAGACTTTAATTCCTTCTACCTAATGTTCACCATTAAAAAGCCTTTAACCCTACTCCTTACCAAAAAAGGAAAAACTTGCAAGATCTTTTACTCTTAGTTACTTAATATAGAAATGAATCAATTTAATAGTACCGACTGAAAGAAAAAGGGTTAAAGTATGTATAGTAATATTGTGGTGAAATATGTAAATAAATATTAAAAACGAAAAGTCTAGTTTCCTATTTTTAAACAACACTTATAACAAACAAGACATATTATTTAATAAATAATATTATATTATTTATTCTTAAACTTCTTATGCTACATTAAACTCACATGCAGATAATTCATTTAAAAAAGTTATCATCTTGAAACCACACATCTAATTATCAAAATATTATAAATAGCACACACATATGAAATTAGGAGTTCCAAATTTTACCAGCAAGATCGAAATTCGTCCTGCTTGTTTCTATATATATTCACATATAATACTAAAAGTTTTTGGAATAACAGAATCTCACATGATACTTCTTCTTCATGTGTATCATATATATAAGCTGCTAACTTAGAGCATATTTATATGCATATTTGTATTATGAAAAAAATTAGATGATCTCACATCAAATATGTGAAGCTGTAAACAATGATATACAGGCGTGTGTGTGTCTCTCTGTATATATATATATAGAGAGAGAGAAAGTACTGCATGGCTGGGCATGAAGGAATATTATAATAAGCTGAGGAGGGAGGCTCTGAGAGAGAGAGAGAGAGAGAGAGAGAGAGTAGGTGGTACGTCTTTCTCAAAGGGGGCTCATGAAGCAGAGAAGCAAACACATAAATGATAAAAAAATTAACACAAATGGCGCTGCAAAGGCTGATGAGAATGAATACGGCAAATCCATTATTATAATCGCTTCATATCTCCCTCCATTAATGAACCATTCGTATCATGTATGCCTCCCTCTCTCTCTCTCCCTCCCTCCCTCTCGACTCCAGAGAATTCCAAAACTGTACCTTCACTTGCAAATTAAAAGCAAGCCTTGTGCTTCTTCTTCTTCTTTACCCTATTCTCTTTTGTCTCCCCTTCCTTCCCTTCATGCCCAACATACCCTACCCCCCTATTATTCTTTCCTTCTTTGTCTTCTTCTTCCTTTTTTTTTTATTACGTAAAAATTCAGTTGAGTTGAGTACCGAGAGTTTATTAAAATTAGGATATACTTTCAAACTTAAAAACTACTTATAGAGATACTTACAGATTACTCACTAATAAGGTCATCATATTGGTAACAGGATGCATGCTCACAATTTTATAAGTTATAAGCTGATTACTTACTAACTGAACCAATTCTTGTTAGCTCTTCTTCTTCCCTTTTCTTCATTCAACTTCTTCTTTTGTATTGTGGATGACCTTGTGACTTGCTAATATGAAAGAGCCCATACATATAAATATAATTAAAATCGCGGTTTCAATCTCTTATTAGCATCTTTTTTTTGGCCAAAAAAAATCTCTTATTAGCATCTGTCATCCTGAATTCAAAACAGAAAAAGCTTCTTCTCTTGAGTATTCAGTTCACACTAATGAATTCCCTTGTCGCTACCTACTTTCCAGTTTCCACATACAACGTAACTCACAGCAAGCTTTCCCCTTTTCAAGCTGAAAACTGAAGATGCCAATATCCTTCAGGCAAACAAATATTGAGAGGATTCAGAAATGTCTCCCTTCGTTTTGACATTTCGTACGTGACTTCATTACACAACTGTGCTCATACACAAACATTATCTTCGATTCTTAATATAAGAGTTATTTATTTTGGTATTCAATTTAGTCCTAAATACAAATCTATTTTTTTTGTTCTATTTATTCATTTTTCTCAAAATAGTCTTTATAGTACTTACATATGTTAAAAGTTTTAATTTTAGCTAATACATATGATTAACAAGAGCATTCTAGAGAAAACAACATCTATATATTACAAATAATTAATTTAACTAATTTTTTAATCTACTTAAATTAATCAATTAGTTTTTATATTAAGGAGCATAGATAGTATTTTGAATTAGAGGAATAGGCACTAATGACATGAAATTATAAGTAGAATTGAACTCTCAAACTTCCGTTTACATGAGAGTATTCATATATCATTATGTTACAAGGTGATTGGCTTAACTTGTACATATTGATTCTGTACATATTACACAGTAACAAGAAATATTATGTCAATATTAATATTAATTCCTGGTTCTATGGATGTTAACCGGTAAGATTTTATATTATATATATATATATATATTTGTGTGTGTGTGTATATTTATATAGCTTGAAATCATTTGATACAGAAGACGAGTTTTGTGACTGCGTTGGCTTCGACTACGTCACATGCAAATGATCACTTCTATGACATAACAGCTACCCTCTGTCTTCCCAAGCTACTTTGACCACCCTAAACCCAACCTCTTATTCTCTGATTAATACACTTTTTTTTTTTTGGACCAGGGTCTGATTAATACACTTCCACGCATTATAATACAATTATATAATATATATGTACATAACGCAATGATGAACCCCTACGTAAGAGACCTATACATAAATCACATCGCAATAATCCCCCGTAACACCTAGAGAAAACCCATCTTTTCAATAAATCCCTCATTCTGGTAAAAAAAGCACTCTCACTTTAACGTTCTCCGTTTCATGAACTCATAGTTTGTCTGTATGCTTCTAATTGTAAAGGATACATAATCTCATATCATCCTTAAATGTCTTCTTCCTCAAAAGTGATTTATTATTTTTTTTTCACCTTTTACAATTATATTTATATCGACTTTGCTTGTGATTTTGTTTTTTTCACTTTTCGGTTTAGCTGGACTGGACTGGTCACGCTTGGGCACATTGGTGTCCTCGGCAGGCCACTTCAATAATGACCCAATTGCATGAACCTTAAAAACAAACCTTCCAGAATTGGGCTTATTTTATACCTTGGGTTTGGGCATCTCAGAAAGAAGCAGTCACTGTGTCTTGGATCCGAAATTCTTTGGGCCTTTATTTAAGGCCCACAAGATGCCTATCAGTTAGGGATAGAGCTAGTAACATAACCCCAACGTGTCAACTTACTTAGAGATTGTTTGGAATGACTTATAAATAATTTATAAATAATTTTTTAATCATGATTTACAGAATATAAAATTAGTATGTGAAAAAAATTTATCTTGACTTATGCAAGTGTTCTTATTAATAGCAAATCCAAACAAATCCTTAAAAGTGAGAAACTAGCTAAATGCTAGCTCATGAATTGTGGCGAGCTAGTTTGCCTATTTTTTTATTTTTCATTTTAAAGCTTTTATATGGATAATTGAACGGTATGAACCTAAAAGGGTTGAACTGAAAATTAAACTCCTTAAGAATCCGCAACCAAAAAAAGTCCTTAAGAATCCATTTGGAATAATTAATGGTGATAGGAAGGAAAGGAAGAGAATTTAAAAAAAAAAAAAAAAAAACCCAACTACTAACATGTTAGCGGTTTGGCCCGTCATGTCCGGTCTCGGGCTGGCCGGGTTGAATTGAGCAGCAAGCAAGAATAATAGACGACGTCGTTGGCTTCTTCTCTTTGCCAATAAATAATTCATAATCCACTGTTTAGTTTCGCTGTTTCTTTGCTTGGTACAGAAGTTTGTGCTGAGCCGACCAGTTGCTGAGGCAGAAGACGGAAGCATGGAGGACGAACCGATGACCATCGCCCACCAAATCGGAGGTGTCCAAAACGACAAGCTTCGTTTCGGACTTCAGGGCGTTAAGAGTGACATCGTTGGATCTCATCCCCTTGAATCTGCTCAGAAATCTGTAATCATTTTCTCTTCTCTTACCCTGAATTTCTTTATTTGGAAGCTCTGTTTGGAGCTCCTATCTGGAAAATGTCTGGGGTTTTCGGATGTATTATATGGGTCACTGCTGGATTTTCATTTGAGCACTTGGCAGTCCCCCCCCCCTCCGTATTAGGGCTTGCGCTGGTTGGGTATAATTTGAATTTCGTTGATTTTTTTCCTGTTGAGATTTTCTCCGCAAATAGGCTTTCTGTCGTTGCAAGCTACTTTAGTCATTGTTATGAAGAACCTGGTGGTCTGAAAAGTTGGGAATTAATTATTGTTTTTAACCATCGGGGTTTGAAAGAGGCTGCAAGGTGTACTGTGGTCAACTGTGTTTGGGCTGATTTTCTGATGAAAATTGTGGAAGTCTTGGTGTTGATCATGGTTTACTCTGTAATGAAGCTTCTCCATTCTGTTATTTTTAGGCAAGACAAACACAGGAATCGATGAAGAGAAAATGCATTATCAACACTTATGGGTCTGCTTTTCCGCTGAAGATGGACCTGGACAGGCAAATACTTTCTAGGTATGATAGTATCCGGTTTTCTGAATTTGTTGTAGCGTGTATCTGGAAGCAATTAGTTTCTTCTGAATTTTTAAAACTGACAGTTGGCAACGGCAAGGATACAGTGTCTAGTCGATCGGTGTAGGCCCCTTTCATCCCCCCATCTATTTTTGTTTTAGTGGTTTTTGTGAACCTGATTGAGGTTGTTCAGTTGAAATTGTTGCTTCTTCCCATCCCCGCTCTTTTTAATTTACTGGTGTTCGTGAACCTGATCAAGTTTCTCCGAGATGGAAAGGTAAACTTCCAAATTTTTTTGTGAACATAGGACGTTTCACATGAAATGCCTAACTCTAGTCTTGCAAGCTCCTGCTGTTTTGTGAGGCAGACATAAACTTGAGGCAATACAAAACCACATGGTATAGGGCAATAAAACATGATACAAAAGTGTGTATTACAGCATCTTCATGTACTTGAAGAATATTAAACAATATGGCATTTTGGGTTAACCCCGAATTTTCCTCTAAAATATGCGTATTTTATATGTGATTATAGTGTGATCATGTTTTTATTTAATATCATCTCATTCTCTGCATCAAATTATAAATTAAAAGAATGAACGCTTCCAAATTGTTTCTCTTCTATTCGTGAAACAATATAATACTGAAATTGGATGCAAAAGTATGTGCTAATTCCTGAAGAGCATGAGTATTCTTTCAGCATGACTTGAGAAGGAATTCTGACTTGTGAGTTCTGAAAAATTCATTTTAATAGCTATTGGGGATTCGTACGGTCTGCAATTTACCATTATAAGAAGTGGTGAGCCCGCATGACCTGATTTTGGCCCTAGTCTTTGCACCAAGTCCTGCAGGCCCGCACATGACCTAATTCTTGGCCAGTGAGGTGTGAGTTGGCATGGCAGCAAAGTTAGCACTACCTTGAAACCTCCATGGTCTGGCAGTTGGCAGTACTATGACTTCTGCCATGGGTGGGTCAGTGGCCAATAATGCTGCCACGTTTTCTGAGTTTGAAACCTTTGCATATTTCACCTTTTTTCTTGAAGTAAGCACTGGGCTTGTGAGTTTAAGGTATATAAGGGTCATTTCTCTTTATCTGAGTGTTAAAAAAAAAAAAAAAACCTTTAAACCCTAGAAAACAACCGATCTGCTTGGGTATTAGTAATTCCATATATAGCATAAATTGTTGCTCTATAAATAAGGGTTAAGTGGGTTGGAATTAATTCTCTTGTGTGACTTTTTTTGCTTCATTGTTCTTGGCTATTTGCCATGGTTTGTCATCCCAACACCCGTTCCTTCTATGGGCTGCACTGTATTGGTGGCCTTGGTCTGCCTTTTATAAATGTTTCTTGCTACTGTTCCTTGTAGGTTCCAGAGACCTCCAGGAGCCATTCCATCTTCAATGCTGGGTTTGGAAGCTTATACTGGAAGTCTGGATCACATCGGTTTTGAGGATTATCTTAATGGTAATAATATAATCAGGCCACATCTTTTTATTTTGTTGATGTAGTTTGTTTATTCATTGAAACTTTCAAGTTTCTCCACCCTGAATAAAGGATTGCCTACATTTTGACGTTTTTATTGAATAAAAAGAGATGGAAAAGTCTGAGGATTGAAATCGGTGCCGCAGCATTCTAGATTGTTGGACAAGTTTTCATTTGTCACTTCTTGTCTTATTTTTTCTTTTTCTTTCTTTTGGAAACAAAAACATGTAAAAGTGAAGTCTCTCCTTTGTGTCCATATGATTATTAAAATATAAATGCAGTGCTTTATTGTTCTCCATTCTAATTGCGGCACTGTTTTTCCCTGTACCCCTCATTCTCAAGTTCATTTTTGTTGCCTGCAGATCCTCGGGAATCTGAATCTTTTCAGCCACCAGACATGCACCATGGAATGGAAGTTCGCCTTGGTATTTCCAAGGGGCCAGTCTACCCAAGTTCCATGTAATGAAAGCATCGGAATATTCACTACAAAGAAAGGGATGGAGCCAGCAGCATGTTTCATTATAGTTTCTGTTTACTAATTTTAGAATGTTTTGGATGCATGATTAATGGAAACACCGAACTTGTAATCAAAGTCAGACAGATTCTTGTGTCTTGTGATGCATTTTATACCTTCCAAACATTTGACCACTTAAAGCTTCGGCTCTATTTCTGCGGCTTTTCCATTGTCTACTTTTTCAAGCATGCAATACCTGTGTTTGAAGTTCTTGGTGACACCAAGCTGCAGGCGTAATCTAGCAGTAAAAGTTGCGAACTTCAAACTGGGTTGGTTGCAGTGTCTTGTGCAACTCCACCAGAGTTTTCCCACGTCATGAGGAACAACAGTTGTGGTTTTGCCGATACTCACAGCTTTCTTTATTTCCTTATTTCCCCGTAGAGTAATTAGGTGGTATGCTATTAGTATTTTTATATGAATCTCCCACCAACCCAGGCCTTCTGTGATCATTTTGAGCTGGATGGTCCATTAGTTCATACAGTTTCATAAGCATGTGTGCAGTCACTGCAGTGTTCTTACACGTGTGTGCGTGGGTTTTCCCACGTCATGAGAAACAACAGTTGTGGTTTTGTCGATACTCACAGCTTTCTTTATTTCCTTATTTCCCCACAGAGTAATTAGGTGGTATGCTATTAGTATTTTTATATGAATCTCCCACCAACCCAGGCCTTCTGTGATCATTTTGAGCTGGATGGTCCATTAGTTCATACAGTTTCATAAGCATGTGTGCAGTCACTGCAGTGGTTCTTACACGTGTGTGCGTGGGTTGGTCGTCTGTATTGTTTGCATATCTCCCGTGAAAGTACAATTTAAGGATACTGAGGAGTTATGTAAGCTTGATGCAATAAACTTGAGGACATGCCTAGGTTGAACTGGCAGGGCTTTTTGAATGAAGGTCTTAAATTAAAGCTGTGGGACGTAGCGTGGAAGCAAGTCAATATTTGCAGTAGCTTTATGGAAGGTTAAATAATACTCCCTCCGTTCCTTATTATAAGAGACAAATAACCGAAATACGTTGATAAAAAAAACAGTTAAAATTAGTTAAGAACAATTAATGTGTAAAAAGTATAATTTTTTTTCAAAAATGTCCTCATTAATAAGGAGAGAGAGCATGAGAGAAAACAATTAAATTATTAAAAGAAAGAGAAGTGGGAGGGAGAGAGAGTGTGAGTTGGAGATAATAAATATAGGTAAAATGGTAAATCAACACAAAAAAGTAGAGACAACTTGTAAGTGTCTCTTATATATAGGAACATGCTATAAGCATCAAATGTCTTTTATAATAAGAAACGGAGGGAGTATTTAAGTAGCCTTCTTTTTGGATCAATGCGATAATTGTGATAAAGAGATTTTACGTGCCATTAACTGTTATTTATTAGCACAATTTTCAGAGGAGCCTGTAGGCCATATCCATGCTGATTAGATGGCTTATCATACGCATGATAGGGATGCCAACTGCTTCATTTTGTATTTATGCCTTTTTTAAAACGATTATTAAAAAAATAAAATTTATTAAGTCATAATTATAGAAACACCATAAGTGTTGTCATCTTTTTTCCAAAAATTATTTTACGTTCAAAGTTATAAATATAATATTTCTAAAACGTTATTAAATTCGAAATTATAATTTTTAAATATTGAAATTAAGAAAGAGTTTTGAATTTTTATATGTAATTTGGAGAAGTTAGTAATAAATTAAATACCTGTTAGTTCTAGAATAGATATAAAAGAGTGTAGCGATCAAAATACGCATAATTATTGTTTCCCACCTCTCGTGTGATTTCAACTGAAAGAAATGCATACCTCAAAAACAAGAATCAAAGACGCACAATTTGAAAAAGGGCCAACAACTTCAGCAACCCAAACGGAAGAAAACTGTCTATGTATTAATCCGACTATTGGTACAACATCTGAGCTGTATTAGAAACTGCATACAAAACTTCCTCTCTTCCTCAATTTTGAAAGGCTTAATAATATTAAAATCACTCATTGCCTCTTATGATAAGATCAGCTTTACCATTAGATGGTGTAAGGACTCCAAGAATCACTAAGCCACCTAACATGAAGATCAACATTCCCAAGGAATTGACCAACATTGCTTCACTGGAATAGCGTGAGATTACCTTGCTGGTTTGAAGGAATGTAGCCTTTTCTAAGATACCTGTAGCAGCTGTGGCTATAGCCAAGCCATAAATATAGATCCCAAAGAAAACATGCCATGGCAATAGAGAGATTCTGCTATTTCTCGAGCCTCCTGGGAACCAGTAGGTCATGAATCCAGCAACCCACTAACAAAAATAACAGCAGTAAGTGAGATAGGCACTGTCAAACACAGCTTCAACCAAAAGGTTTAGATAATAGATGAAGATCCATGAATAGTTTTATCATGGAGTAAGCCAAAGCTTAGGTGTAATTTTTCATGTGTTTGCTATCAAGTTCTTCTATGAAAACATCAAAAATTATTATTATTTTTTTTTAGCTCTACATGGTTAATTATTCCCAAAAAAAAAAAAAAAAGTCCGTCTAAAGAATGTTTTAGAAGTTTTATACTTCAATTTCTAAATTTCTATTTACGCCTCTTCACATGAACATCCTTGAGTTAAAGGCACGGAAAAAACAGTTTACTGGCACTTGGCAATTCTTATCCAAGTTCATAAATAGTTTCAAAACAGTCTCCAACAAACATCAGCCATAAAGGCATTCATACTATGCTAAAGACTAATCAATTCAGGTGTTTATGCTATTAAGTGAAAGTCCATAAATAGTTGCGATAAAATCTCTGATAGATGCGATAATGAAATCCAAGTTCTGGTGTAAAGTATGATTCGATATCCAAGGGTATGAAGAAATACAAAATAATACCAAGACGTTTGGGCTTAGGCCCCATTATGCAATTTTTTTTATTTAAGAAAACGAAATAAGGCAAAAAGATACCTGGATGAAGAATAAGAAAAGGCAAGCTAGACCCAGCCATGAATGCAGGCTGTAGAAATTGTCAATGCCCTTGTCAATGTGAAACTTCCAAGCAGCCCAAACCCCAATCAAACTTAAAATGAAAGAAACAAATTGTAATGCGAGATGAACTCCTTTTTTAAAGTCTTTTGTTCCTGGTAAGGACTTATATGCAAGCATCGCTGCACAAAGTTATAAAAAAACATTGTTATTCATCAAATACTAAATTGTCAGGAAGCATAACTCGGAAATTACCAAAGGATGAATTAATATTTAGTAAAGAAACAGCTGTTTGGAAACAACAGAAAAAGAATTGAGTTAACCAGAGTTGGTAAGATATACTTTTGAACAAAGAGGTTAAATGCATTTTTAAGGTACTAGCTAGCCCACCAATTTGTATCACGTTATCTAGCCAGGAAAAAAAAAATCTTGTCATCTTCCTGCCTCTGCCTTTTCTTAAATAGGAAAAAAAGCTTCTTCTCCGGTTTAGGGAAGACAGAACTATCCCGGCTGCCATCAGTCTTTAGATGCCAAAAGAATGACAGGAAACGCATCCAAAATTCATATGCTCATTTCTCAATTTTTGCGGTAATGCTAGGGAGAAATCTTGTAAGGACATAATGCAGGGCTTTCATGGTGTCAAAATTCATCGTGCAACTTTGACATCACTCCACTCGGCACTCCAAGTAGATTATAAGAGTTAATTAGAAGACACATGACCTAATCTATATCTGATGGGGAATGATTTAAATGACTTCAGCCCTGAGCTATGTAATTTTAGATGTTGCATGGCCAATTAACATGGTCATGATCTTAAGGCAATAGACATATAGCAAATTCGCTACCTAACTTCTCGGGGCAGGGGCAAACAAAAGAAACCAGCTCTAAAACAACATTACTCTGTCCTCTTCAGAAAACCATTTTCTAATTTTATAACTATATATACCAGTCATACAACATGAATAATTGGAGAGTCACAATATAATCTTAAAGTCGACATACTTCATCAACGAAGAAAAAGTGGTTTGATTTACATCTTCATCTATTCTAACATATCTAGAGAAAATTGATTATCTTTTGCTCATTTACTTTAAGAGCAAAACATAGTATTGGCTTCTAAGATGTCATCAAGTGGGGGTGGGAGTCAATAGATCAGAGCATGCATGTCAAGATAAAATAACGTATGCATCTTGGATTGATACATGAAATCAGGCATAGAATCAATGGCAATACAATATGAGTTATACATAAATAAGATGGCAGGATCAATTACATATCATATTAGTCATATACCAAGTATGCCATATATATATATGGGAGGATAAGAATCAGAACAATCAAGTTAAATCAACAATGACACTGAAAATCATAAATTATTAATAGAAAATGTGTTAACAGATCATTAAATTATTAATCCTTTTCCAGGACCTACAGCTTCCTATAAATTTATCTATTACATGAACAAGGTTAGCAAGCCAAAGAACTGAAAAATGTGTCACTTTCAGATGGAATGGCACATATGAATTGCCCAGTAACACTGCATTCCGTGCTGACAAATATGAACATTAAGCAAAAAGGCTAATATGATTTTTTGTATGATTTGTTGCATTACTTGAAGTAAGAACCCCCACAATTTAAGTTACTTCAGTCAGTCTATGCCGTCAATTTTTCACTTCCATGTCCTCTATAATAGCTAGTTTGTTGATTATTCATGTAATACCGTATAAACAATTAATTCATTGCAATAGTGTATAAATAAGAACCAATAAGTTCATAGCGGAATAGTGGATTGAAAATTCATCAGAGAATGATGTCAGAAAGTTTCTAAAAATGTTGCTATGCTTATAACGATGTATATCTCCAGTGTTACCCAAAGTAAACAAGGAAGAACCTATACCTTCACCATTGATTAGGATAAGTCCAATCACCATCAACACTGGATGGACCTGTAGTGTGTACAAAATAACAACAGAGTCATCAAACTTTAGGCATGATGGGAAAAGGGGGTATATATTGACTGGCTCATCGAACGCCAATATGCAAAAATTATGCTTTAGCTACAACATTACAGTAAAATTTAAACTACCTACAAAGCTTTCAATGAAATAATTAGCTGGAATCAAATTTACCAAGAAATTAACGATAAGGGTCAACAAACAATCAAATTGATTCAAATGTGATTTCCATCAAACCGTGCAATCAAAATAATGGCATCCCACAGAAAACGCTAGTTCTCATTTTTGTTTTTTGGTCAGAAGAGAACACTAGTTCACAAGTTAGGAAGAAGTATTTATTCCAATATTCCAGACTCGGTTTGCCATTGCATTGTGAAATTCTAGAAAGAGCAAAATAAAGACGTACTTTCTCAGACTTCCTCACCAACCTATGTCAAAATCAATGATTTCTTGAACTCAACTGTTATAAGCAGAGAGCAAAGAACAAGAAAGAAGCCTAAAGACAGCAAAAGAAACTGTAAGGAATGCCACTGCGGTAGGATCAAATAACCCAAAATCAGGATCTCACACCCAGAAAACAATACAATCTCCGCAAAGCAAATTGGAAACCCCATTCACCGCAATTCCACTACGAACCGTGATTATTCGGATATATACTCTCAAGATTCTCAAATTCTTCTTTTTCATTCCTACATCACCGAATTAATTCGGTTCAGTCAAAAATCAATTTTTAATCCCACGAAGACAGCTCAATCGAGAATCTCCTCAACAACAATTTAAGTATTATCGGGACCACAAAAGCACTAACTAATGTTCAAGGCAAGAGAAGAAAGAGGAGGGATACATTGAAAATGAGATCTTTGTTTTGGGAAACGAGGGCGAGGCCTCCTCTAAAACGCAGAACCCAGGTGAGAAGAAGAAGCGTCACAAGGACGCCAATGAGTCGCACTGTTAGATGGATCGGGAACTTCACCGCTGGAGGAGAAGCCATTTCTCTGTTGTCAACGGACGGAGAGGGACAGACAGACAGAGAGTCACTTAACTTATTCTAACGCAATGGCCACATCCACCGATAAAGGAAAGGAATATTATAATAGCTCTGATCCTCATGCTCATTAGTCACGCACACAGAGACAGTCCAGTGCCTCCTGCTCGCAATACCGGGTGCTTCCCAATTAAGAGAGAATAACACATAAACCCCGTGGAAGAAATCACTATAAAGGACCATACATTTTTAAAATTCCATATAAAGAACAACGTTTTAAATAATAATCCCTTCTCTTTTAAATATAAATGAATATTGTTTTTTTTATAATATTCTTGCTAATAATGTGAATTGAAGGTAATGATGACTATTTTGAAGAAAAATAGTTAAATATAAAAAACAAAATATATTAAAATCTTATATTTAGAATCAAATTCAACTTTTAATTAACTCTTATATTAAAAACTGGAAATAGTATTATAACATTATTTCTTATTCATAATATAAGAGTTCGTTAGGTGTTAAGTTTGGTTTTAAGACATCTAATCCATTTAAAAGACAATTAAAGAAATGAAAAAAGCCTCCCTAAAGGGTGGTGAATTTTTTTAATTTCAGACACAGACTTGAGTTTTTTTTATTATGAGAATAAATACTTATTTGAGATTGCGATTGGACAATCTTAGAAGTATTTATTCACAAAATTCAAAATAATACTTTGTATGCCATAAATTATCAATAAAAAGTTGCTTTTGAAGAAACATACTACCAGACAAACACCAAAATTTTAAATAAAAAAGCAAAGGATAAATTTGCATTGCATTTACTTGATTACAAATGGCAAAAGATGAGTTACATATATTTGAAATACTAAGAGGTAATTATAGGTTGTAGAAGTTTTGTAAATTTTAAGGGCACAATTACAAACGTTGAAAGCTTAATTACAAACAAAAGCCTAGTTACAAATGACTTCTAAATTAAACAGTTTGTATTTGTGAAAATTCCATAATTTACAAATGATTTGCATCTAATTTTTTACTATTTACAACTGAGTTTCAAACATTTGCAACTGAACTTTCAATATTATAGAAATTTCATGGTAGTTTATAGCTTATTTTTAATTGATTTTCTTGAATTTGCAGTTGAGATTTCATGATTTGTAATTCACTTCCTATAACCTGCAATTAAGCTATAGGCTACGTGTCAAATACGAAAAAATATTTTCGTTCAATTACTTCTTTTTTAAAACCTTGATTATTCTATGTGATTTAAAAAATTGGCACTTCCTATAATACAAATAATTAAATAGAATAGTTTAAATAACCGTTTATTACAAATAACGAATCTAACTAATTTTTTTCATATTCACAAATTAGTTAATTATCTAATTTTTTATATTGAGCACATAAAGTAATACTACATCTAATTCTTAATATAAAAAATAGTTGACTGATTTAAGTAGATTATATGTATTAACTAGAACTACCATTTTAGAAAATATTTAACATACTATAAAACTATTTTAAAAAATAAATAAATATAAAAAATAAAATAGATTAAGATTTTATATACAAAATTAAATTAAATATTAAAGTAGCTTTTATATTAAATATGGAAGGTTATACTTTTTCTTATTTCCATGCAATCTTAGGAGCAAGGGTTGGGAGAGTACATAGGAGGTAAGGGTGCACAAAGACCGGACCAGACCGGGTTTAACCTCAACCCGAGGTCTGGTCTGGAATGCCCTCGGGTTACACTTTCCTGCCCGAAGTCTGGTCCGGTCTGAAACAAACCCGATAGCAGACCAGACCGGGTTGGTCCTTCGGGTTAACAGACTGGTCCAGAAAGAATAAAAAAGGAGGGGAAGTTAAGATTCGGACGTTCCTCCCTTCACCCCCAAAACTCCTACCATATCAATCTTCTTTTTTCTCTTTATTCTTATTCCCTATTCCAATCGCAAACCATCATGAAAAAAGCATAAGAAATAGAAGATGCAAGAGGAAGACAACAAATCTGGTAATGGAGTTTTACAGCTTTCAAGCTCATTAACAATCAACAATCTTCATGGCAACACATCAACAAAAATATGTGATAGCAACAGCATTTTTTTTACAAAGCACAAAAAAATATCAGGATGTTGTGAACTCATGAAATCGAACAAAGCAAGCACAAAAAAAACCCATGATCTTCATCTTTGCTTCAACAGATCTGATACGAGTTCTTTGTCTTCAGCTTCAGCAACTTCGGAAGATGCCATTGACAAGTTCGTCTTCTCCGTCCTTTGTAACGGTGTATTGTGTTGACCCACCTTGATCCAAATCGGGCAATCTGTGAAGAGGCCGAAGAGATGATAAAGATTGGATGCCAAAATGTTTGTTGTTACTGCAGATCAGGACGGTGGGTGTCTTGATGGAAGATCTGGAATGAATCAAGCGTTGAGGGAGCTTGATAGCTGGTGGATTAGGGAGATCGAAGTTAAGATGAGAGAAGAAAACGTTGGAGGATTGGAGGGTGGAGGCGGTGGCTTCTGATTAGATGAGGAGATAGGTTAAGAAATAATTTTTGTAATAAAAAAATAAAAAAATATATATATATATGCCGGGTTAGACCAGACCATTTGGTCTGAAGGGCTAGCCCGAAACCCGGTCTGACCCGATGACCAACCCGGTCTGGTCTAGTTTTTTTTTTTGTTCCAGTTGTATTTTTCCGAGCTGAACTGAACGGGGTTTACCTAGATTGGGGTTTTTTTTGAACAGCCCTAATAGGAGGGGAGCCAGCTCGGGCTTTGTTACGCCAATCTATGTTGGGGGCTTTGGGCTGTCATAGACCATTTGGGAGTATTTTCTTTCCCAACGTTTGAGATGTGAACTATATGACTTTCATATTTCTAATGCCAAAAAGAAAAACAAATTTGATATCTCGGAATCCAAAAGCTACAAAAAGAGCTCCAAAACTACAAGGCAGATCCTTTGATGGTTGATACAAAAGTGAGGAGCACTATAAATGTGGCATTGCAAGATTGGGTAGTTTGGTAGAGGGAAGAAAGCAAATATTTGGCCAGAAAGCAAAGCAAGCAGCAAGTAATAAGAACAAGCAATACCTTTAAGATGGAAAAAGAACAAGGCGGATCCTTTACTGAATTTACTATGGTGGCTTGGATTGATTATTTATTCTGTATTTGGATCCACGGAGGGAAAAACAAGAGAAAGAGAAAACTAGAAGAGAAAATTGAACGAAAATCAAAATAAATTTTCTTCTAGTAAGACATAATTAAGGAGGGAAAATGTGGAAGGAAAAAAGTGCATGGTGCATATGTTTCTCTCTAAAGTTTTTCCTTTTTCAAAAAGAAAAAATTTGGAGGGAAAATATATCTCTAAAATTGTCTTGAAAGATAAAAATCGAAGCATATGACTCACTTTGTTTTCCCCATATAACAGTATTATCGTTGTTGTGAAATTACGCATGCGTGTTTCCTCATGTTTATCGATATAAAGGGGGCAAAAAACATTTTTTAACTTTTCTTTTTTAAAAAAAATATTTTCCTTATTTTCTCCATATTTTCTCATCTCATGTACAAAGAAAGCTATCAGAAGCCCTGGTAAAAGATAAATTATATAGCATGAAGTCATTCGAAATGAGGTAAAAGAATATTTAAAAAAATGCCCAATGAAATTATTGAATATGACCTTTTGATTAACAATATAACTAAATATTTATTTGTCAATAAAATGCAATAATATCTTGCAATTAATATAGTTGGCCCTAATTAATGAGATAATGTTATTTGTTGTTGCTTCTCATCTATTCAAATAAACGGAAGTATGCTTGATCTTATTATTAAGATCACAGTACATGAGAAGCCAACAAAAATTGAAATGTGATAATTTTATTTAATGAAACACATAGGTCCCTTTGGATAGAGACTCTACCAAACATCTAGAAGCTACATAGAATAGTTTTTGGCTTCCTACCACCAAAATGAATTTCATGATACTTGTTTTAATTTTCCTTATACGTATGTGCTTGTTTGTAATGATTTACAAATAATTTTTTAATTGTAATTTATGAAATATAAAGTAAATATATAAGAGAAGTTTTGTCTATACTTACGTGAAACATATTTATAAATGCTTACAAACATGGTTCCAAACAAACTATGATGATTGTTGTTTTAAAATCTTCTCGATTTTATTGAGATAGGATTGACAGAAATCATTAAGTGGTATTTGAGTTTATAATCGTTTCAATTTGTAAGTGCACATGAGGAGGAAGAGCCAATGTTAGGTATACAAGAAAGATTATGATGAAACAAAAAATCTCTTGACATTTGTTGTTTTTTTCCTGAGAAAATTAAAAATTACAAAATAGAAGCAATATGAGAAAAAATGACATTGATTTTTCGTACATGCAAAATGGGACATGGAAAGCATGCGGGGTGGCGCGGAAAGACAGATAGTGAATGAATGTACGTTCCAAACAGATGCTATGAAAGGTTTCTAGAAGCAATGAACTAGATATTTTTGGTGACATGACGTGATTTAACACAACTTTTTAATTTTAACGCAAAATATTTAATCAACACTTCCAAATATTTTTAGGTGGATGTAATATTTTAAAATATTTTATAATGTAGTTTTATTTTTAAAATATCTTTTCATGAACAATTTTGCTTTTTTGAAGTATTTTTAAGGAGAAATCATTACTACCAACTCTCACAAAAAGTTTGTTAATTACAGGTCCACTTGGCATTCTATAATATACTTTTAGCAACACTCAACTTTCTCATTTTTTTGTGCAACTTTGCCGTAAAGTATTTTATAAGTTAATTTTTCATCACTCTTTGGTCATATTTTTAATACTTATCATTTATATATTTGGCACTTATTTTTCATATTTTCAATAATTGCTATTTCAATTTCTAGCAGTTATTTTAAAGATCTTTTAGACTTATGTCCCATGTTTTCAATCATTAGATTTAATTATCTTAAATATCAAAAACATAAACAATAGGCACTGAAAATATTTTTTTTCCCCCTAATTAAACACTGAGTACCTTACACGACAAAAAAAAAACTAACAAGACCTATTTTTCTTTATCAACTTCTCCCTCAACAATAAAAAGTGATTAC